AGAAAAAGACCAAAAATCATTTTGGATGTTTTTCCCTGATTAGTGGAGACTGTCCTCTGGGGTTTCTGCACATGGGTATATCATGACTTTGAGGAAGTTTTCAAAGCTTAAAAGTCCCCAGAGATCGAGGTACTTTTCGACCTGTCCCATATTATGAGTTCCTGTAGGGCCACTCCGCCGTAGTCAAGGAAGCTGACACCTACGTTGTCTTGAGGAGGATATCGCTTGCCATGGCAGAGGGTAGCTTTTGCATCAGCGCTTCTAGGCTGGACTTATTCAACTCGTAGTTGGGCAATGTATAGGTCGCCATCAGCACAGAATGACGGCCCTTTACTCAAGCTTCTTGAGGCGCAGGTCCGACACGTACCACAGATATAGTTGCGACCTCTCTAGGCTCCACCTGACTGACAACTGCCATGCTTCTCCGCAATCTCGGTTATCGGAAAATTTTTTTGTGAAGGATGCCTCATGAGTTGGACCCGTCTGACAAGTCATACCGAATGACGACCGTGACTGAGTTTTCTTTCCTTGTACACAGCGAAAGAACTTTTGTGAGATCTTGTGGTTGGTAGCGAGTGTTGGAGTCCTTGCGTACATCATGCACATGTCCCTCGCAGGATCTCTTCTTCGACAGTAAAGTAGATTTGGCTTAGTGCCAAAAGGCAGTGTGCATGGGATATAAGATTCAGTGTGTTGTTGGGGACTTCAAAGCGGTATCATTTGGATACGCAGCACCGTTTTAGGACCCACAGTCTAAACGAACCTTAATCGACTTCAAAATATGGATGACGTCACGCTTGAATTCATTCAGAAATACTCAATTTTTCTCTACTACTCGGTAATGCGAGGACCGCTGTGGGGATCAGGCTACGCCAAAAGATCATGCATTTCGATCAGAGAATGCGACCGTACTCAGGTTATTTAGCAAAGTTAGCAGCCTCTAGACACCACCTCCTTGGTTCCAGCTATCGCATCATTCAAAGCAAAAGTTCCGAAAATCAACCTCAACTCGAGAATGAGGTCCACCTCTTCTTTTATCACAGTTGCCGTAGTTCTATGAGAATGGAAATGAGAAGCTGTGCAAAAGAAAGGCACTAGTCCTAGTCATCAACTGCGGTTACCTTGTAGATTGGAGATGTCCTTTACTGACCAGAAATTTAGTTCGAAAAATTTGGTCAAAGTGTCGCAGGACTTTTCGGGGCGAAAAACACCTTAATACTAGGTGTCGTCTCATACCCCATCCCCCGCGGCTGCCGCACAGCATTGCCTTTGCGCCCAATCTAGCCAATACGCTAGATGTCTGCGCTCTCTCACTTGTGCTTGTTCTCTACTGGTGAGAACGTGTTTCGGTGCGAGGCTTCAGTATCAAGTGCTGTACGTTGGGGATAGCACGGACGGAATTATGGAGACGGCACTCGCGTGCCACCACCTACATCCCCGTTCTCGTGTTTTTCTTTGGCCTGGGAAAAAGCGCGCGCAACTTGCTGCTCCCGCCTCCTTTGCTCTGCACATGCCAGCGGAACCGTCTCCTGGAGGTGAGTGTATCAGTTTGTCTTTGGCTTTTCGCCCTTTCACGGATCAAGCCTTCGCCTACATTTTGTCTGTTCACCTGGATTATTTGCCTCATGTAGCGTTTTCAGTGAGTTTCTGGCTCGTACTGGGTCGAGTTCAATAAATAGACATCGTCAATTTGCTCTGCTGACCTAAGGAAGCTATCTGAACCTCTAATACTTCCGTGCTCAAGACAGGTATTAATTAATATAGCGCCGAAATAGGTGTTACTACAGACCATAGGCCGTGACGTGGTCGCCGACCGATCCTGTTCTTCTAAGGCGCTCTATAAAGACGAATCAAAGTGGGCGGAACGAATCACTCACGGTTCTTGAGCCGGCATTGGCTAAGAAATCATGCAAATCAGCATCCGATGTCTACTCATCGTTGCAACGGTCAACCTACTCATACAAGGTTCGACTACTTACTTATACTGATTTATTCTGGGGCGGTCCTTTCCTGAATTTATGAAAATGCGTCAAATTGTGCTATAATTTCGCCTACGGTTTCTCTTGAGCTATTTTTAACTTTCCACTTTTTCTGGTCGATGGTGCTGGCTCAAAGATCACTTTCATAGTGAATAATACTCAGAAGTAATGCATTTGTTTACGAGTTTTCACTGAAAACATGGCCTAGAGCAGGCCTAGATTAGGCCCTGCAAGGCTGAGGTGCAACGATCCCCTTCATCGTTACGGAACCACTCTTTGTTCAGTAACGAGTAAGCATGTGCAATAATATTTGGGTGTTTCCTGGCCGACCCATTGTCAACTGAAAGGTCACTGGCGTGTGATGTAATTGCATAGATGCAGTCAAAATATTGTCAGAATATTAACCAGTTCTCAAAGTAGACAGTTTTAATTATTATTATGTTTCATAATTGTCTACATATTGCAATATTTCAGTATGCTGGTCGATAACTTCTAGCGACGTCTACAAAAGACTACTAGAAAGGGAGAGGAATATCGACGATACATTCGCCTACCACCTTATTCGACCTATTGGATCAGTCGCTGGTGAACTGGTGAGTGCATTTCTGCAAGATTTTTTTCATTCACAGGCATCTTTTAAAGTCGTCCCGATCACCATTCATTTTAAAGGCAAAACATCGTAGCACGCGGGTGTCACTACGCACGATAAATGATAGGTGGTGGTGTGACGTCATCACCATGCGTTCGCACGACCACCGTCGCGGGTGTAAGCGCTGCTGCGCACGTACGCTCCTTGACCCTTACAGGCGATTCCGAGAAGTTCTAGCAATCTCATTGTCTATTCAGGCCAAGAATAGGCTTTGGCTAGAGGTATGCCGTTATAAGGAACGCAAAATATAGAATCTTTTCCTGAATGCAGACCCGCCTTCAAAATCGCCCGTTTATCCTTGTTTCCGAAGTATAAGCCGCATTAATTCAGGGCTTTCTTTGGAGTCGCAAAAGGCGTTGGGTACCGCAACCGTGGGTAATGTCCGAGCAGCAGCTTGGAAGCTACTGGACTACCAATCTTTCACGGCTGCAATAAAAGTGAAAGGGACACAGACAAGGGCGGCTTATACGCTGGAGAAGAAGGCAGTGCTACACTTACTAGAGGGAGCTGAGGGGCAGGTAGTGTAGTGGCAAATCACTTACCACGCTTGCGGCTAGGTATCAAATCCAGGATCGGGGCTACCTTTGTTAGGTTGTTATTAGAAGGATCGTTAGGATCCCCAGCTAGGCGGCGGGGATCGTATTTCCCTTCAAGAAAATAGTCTCCGATTAATGAATTTCCTCGGTTTTTTTTCTGCTTCAAGCACATCTTCCTCCCCTCCGCTCCCCCTCACTCGAAGGTAATTTTTTGGGAAAAAGAGGAAAAAAATTCAGGAAAAGTGGAAGAAAAATGGGAAAACTAATATTTAGGAAGATAGTAGGTAGCATGAGAGATAGGGAAGGGCCGTACCATAGGGAGAGTCGTATTTTGCAAAAATCTCCCCCAGCGGCAGGACTTGTTCTGCTACCGGATCGTATGGAAGAAATAAACATCGACTTCTACTTGGTACACCCACCCCCTCCATCCCCCCCTCCCCGTCCCCCAGATCGCGTTCGAAATGCTGCTGCGATTCTGAATTCAAGTCAAGTGGCATGTCCCTGAATCACACGGAATGCTGTCCCAGGATAACATTCAGGGTCAAACGCATTTAGGAGAACCCCTTACCATTCCTAACTTGTTTAAGCCTCAGTTACTTATCCTTTCTACACATTATGTGACTATTTTCAGATATGGCCACGAAGCTATGATGCATCAGCTGAGCTAACATTTGACGAGAACGGAGTCGCTTTCCCACTACATGAGCGTCCATCGCTCTCCAGAATCCTTCGACGTTCGCGAATCTCGTCATTGAACGCTAATGGTGCTTACAAGGATAGCTACAATTACTATAATAACTACAGCTAAAGTACAATTAGTGCTGTTGAGCAAGCACTAGCGCGTTTTACAGTAATCTGGTCATAGCTGTACATATTTTTCTTCAAATGCCAACATCTTACGGGTTCTAGTCGTCTTGTACGTGTATTGTTGATTGTCTGTATATATACGTGGTGTTTCGAAATGGTTTCGAAATGAATATGAATGATGAAAAGTTAGGATGACATCACCAAACCGCCCGCGGGGGAGATGATCGATAAGATCGACGGGTAATTGGAGAAGTAACTCACTCGCTGACAGCCCATTTATAACACTTCGATGGCAGCTAGGAGATCGATTTCACAAAAGAGCAAGTTTATTGGGTCATCTCAGAGCTCCGTTGTTACCAGTAAAAAACATAACTAGTAAATCTTATGTAATCATGTCCTGCGTTGGAACTCCCCGCGAAGATATCGTATTCCTTATTGGAGGGATCGCACCTAAGGAGGAACTTCCGAGAGACATCGCATTTTCGAATTTCACCCATCAGTAGGACATACCCTGCATGTAAAAGCGCGTATTTGCCATTGTCATAATCAGGGAGGTGTCAGAAGAGGCGGAATGA